CTTAAATTTATGAAGTGAAATCTCATCAATTGGTTTGCTTTCCTTATGGAACATCAATAACCTATGGCAACGTGTAAAGAGCATTCATGTGAACAACCACTTCACCATTCCTGTCTGACATTGTTGTCTTTTCTCAGTTAAATCTTGGATAATGCTTTTCACATTTAGCAAGAAACTGAGAACAGGTCATCTCTAATTTGAGCAAAAACTAGGAAATCCTCTACCATTTTCTGCTCTTCTGAATATGAAGAATCAATTTTCTCGATAACATCCACAACATCCCCAGCAAAACCAGCCAGCTCTAGATTCACTATTTCTTTAGCAGCATCAAATCTTGAATGCAATGAACCTAAGAGCTCCTTCAAATCAGTATAGAGGATAAGTGTGAAAGTAGTTTTTAATATGATGATAATTGTTTCCTAGTAGGGAGTTTATTATTCTTGGAAGAAGTTATGTTTTCTTGTATAAAACATAATAGTAATCTGAATAAGATATGCAGAAAAAAATATATCTCAAAAAGTTTCTTGAGTACTTTAAACTCTAGGAGATCATTGGATTCTCTATCAACGAATCCATACTATTCATCAAAATCACATACTAAGCTAAAATAATGTTTTGGTCTCTGTACTATTAATTTTGTTCGAATTAGTTTGTCTCAATTTTCAGTTAAATTATTCTTTATACTTTTAAAAAAATTTCAATTAAGTCCTTTCCTGTTAACGATAGTTACCGCCACTAAGTTTGGGGTCACGTGTCAAATTTGACGACACGTGACACTTTTTTATTGTCTATGTACTAGTGAATGTCACGTCAAATATCACGTAGCATCTAAAGTGACGTTAACAAATTAGATGTGGACTGGTTACAAATTAAAAAAAATAATACAGGCAATTATTTTGGTGAGCCCTAAAATTCTACCCAACCCTCATCTTCTCTCATCTGTTTTCCTTTTCGAGCATCTATTCTCATGATCAGCAATCGTCACCCTAAACCCTAATTTCTCCAAATCCCCAGAACACATCTTCGTCCCAAAACATGTCACCCACAATCAAAGATTGAGCCTCCGGAGGCAACTTCCTCCTCGTCAAGAAACAATCTATTAGAGTTTCTCAACACAGGATGAACCACATAGATGAGAAGGTTGATGGCAAGTCCCAAGGCCAAGGTACAGAAGCAAGCAGTGAACCAGAGAGCCAAAAGGGAGGCAAGGAACAGAGCGAGTAAAAGCAGTTAGTCGTTTAGGTGACAGCTGAAGAGGATAAGAGGGTCTTCCCAAAAGAAGTCGAAAAGAAACCGGAGTGCAACAACAGCAGAAACAACAAGAAGGGAGCCAAGGGTGCCAATGAGAAAAGTGCTCCACATGTGGCGATGAAGAGAGAGTAGCTGATGAAGAAGAAGCAGGCATCCTTCTAGACTCACTCAAGCACAGATAGGATATCATCGGGGGCGGTTGAAGACTCCCAAGTACGTGAACACCAGCCAAGGGCGGTCACAAGAAGCAATGATAGTCAATTTTTGGATAGATCAAGAAACGAGATCTCAGACAGATATGGCAAGGAAGGAGAAGAAGGATCAGGGACTTGTTTTGAGGCAAGGAAGAAGCAGACATTTTTAACAAATACTTGTCCTAGTGGAATTAAATGATGAAGCACCAAAGCTCTTGTAACCTAATTTCAAAGTTGCAATAGATTAAAAAGGAAACAAGCAGAATTTCTATTGAAACTTTAGCTGTCAAAAAAGACAAAATATGCAAGTCAGCTCCTGACTAATGATATAAAATTGCTACTTGTCTCTTATTTCTCAAAAAAAAAAAATTCTACTTGTCTCTAGATAATCATTGAAATAATTTTTGATAAAAGAAGATTCATTGGAGAAAGAATGCTAAAACACATAATTAAGAACAAGGTATCCTCCACTCAAAGTTTCACAAAAAATAATTAAATAATTAACACAAAAATGGAAACAAAAATTAAAGTTTCACGGTTTCCTCAAAACTGATCAACAAATCTTTGAGTTGTTGAAAGTCAATAGAATCCTGTAAACAATAACTATATACCTGATCAATTGAACCCCTCATTCTATCCTCGTAAATCATTCTTGACGCTATCTTCTCAGCCTGAAAAAGAATGTGAACAACTGTTTAAAGTCAATGTTCAAATCTTTGAGTTGACAGATGTAATATCAATATGGAAGGAGGGAACAGAAGAAAGGATGAATAACAAAAAACAAACCAAAGAATTTTATAAAAATTTTCTATGCCACTTCATATTTTGATTTTCAAACAATTTTCCATTGAAATTGTTATATATTAACAAAATAGTTTCTACCAAAATGTTTCAATTCTAATCAGCTAAACCATATATCTCTTTATTTAGAAAAGCAACAACTTTTGCTAATATTTTGTTAAAAGATTTTCTAAAACTAACCAGACCCTAAACAACCACAAAGCAGAATAAGCTTCACCACAGTGACTCGTGAGTCTGAATTGCATACAAGTTTATGATGAAGCTGAAGAGAAAGTGTTGAGGAACATGCCAATACAGAAGAGGACCTTCTATAATGCATGAGCTTATATCATTAGTTGTAAGCACTAAATTTTTAACTGTTATATTATGATTTCCAAACTGTTATTCTTTAAAAAAAGGCCAAAAGACACTTGAGCTCACAATTAATATTGTGAACTCGAGTTTAAGTTTAGCATTTTCCTACATCTAACAAATCCGCATTAATCAACATAGAGGAACACAAGATTTACAAAAACAGAAGTCTGAGAAACACAATGCATGCAAAACCCCCCAAGGATGATGCTTGATATCTCATTATAATAAAATAGAATAGAACTTCACGAGGGCTACATGTTTGAGATAATAAATAAATACACTTGATGAGGATGCAACACTGTATCAGTTAGAATTGTACCTTTTGAGGAGCAATACCCAGCAAAGTGCCCAACTCATCAAAACTACGCCAATATTGAAATGAGTAAGTTCAGAAGAAATAAACAGTCACATCAGTAAAGTGAATAGATGAAAGATAGTAAGCTACATAAGATATTAAACCTTATATTTGTGTAAGCTTGCTTGCACTCAAAAGATTATGCTCAATCATGGCACGATCCAGAACGGTAAAATTGTCAGGCAGAAGCGCTTTCTGCTCGAAAGAAAAAGGTGACATATATCCATTATGCCTTGGATAAGAAAACATAAATTCTGGGTACGCTGCCTGTGGACTGAAAGGGAAAATTATTACAACCTGATGTGGTTTCAGTTCTTCAGAAAAAGCATCGATTTCTGGTTTTCTCAAAATCCTCTCTAGATACACCTGGCAACCCACAGTACCACAACATCAACTACCAAGATGGAAAAAAGGGTCGATGAGTGTAGCTAAAACAAATGCAGGGTTAATTTGCACACAAGTGTGGGTGCAGGCATTGTCGAGAATGCAGATGTCAGATGCCGTGTGTATGCCCCACAGAGAGAGAGAGAGAGAGAGAGAGAGAGAGAGAGAGAGAGAGAGAGAGAGAGAGAGAGAACCTTCTGCAATATAGGATAGATTTTCAATTTTGAACATCGTTCGTCCTGAACCATATCCCAACACATCAGCACATTGAGTTGACTATGCAGATGAAACTCTCAAATTACCTTCCACCAAGAAAGAAAATTTACTTTGTACAGAGTGGCAAGAACACGAGAACGCTGAGGGCCAGCAGCAGCCAAAATGGTACATGTCACAGCAGCAGATAGAGCTTGCTCCAGAGCATCTTCGTCAATTTCTCTAGTAGATTATAGCAGTCAATTATAGCAAAGCATCAATAATTTCATCCAAGAACATCTAGCATGTACCAGCATTGGTAAAAGATGTGGAAGGGAGAACATAATCCACAAAATATATTTTTAACTATGTTTCTTTGGGTGTGTGTAGAAGTAGAAAAGAGAAAAAGCATTAAAGAAAACAGAGTTCACACTGCCTTTGGCACTCAAGGATATCCAGTGAATTTGGAGGAGAGCAAAACATCTATTGGGATATAAAAGCATAGGTTTCTACATAGTTGTATAGATTATGTGGAATTGCTGAAAAAAAAAATGCTTAAAACAGCAAGATACTTTTAAGTTACTTAAAAGCAAGTTATTTCCATTTAAAAATAAGTAACTACATGCTTGGATAAAATGTTGTTGCAGATAGATAATCAATTGTAATTATTAAACAAATTCATTAAAATGTACATAATATCATGATATACCATATTATATATATTGTTAATGTAAGTATTTTAAAAAATATATATACTTTTTATTTAAGAAGAGAATAAGTAAATTAGTTAAATAGAAAAATAACAACCTAGAAAATTAAGAATGCTTATTTCTACTTCTATAGTCACTTTTAAGAACTAAATGAGCCACTTAATACAGAAAATAGAGCAACGATTTTTTTTTAGATAAAAAGTACAAAGAGTACATCAAAACTATTGCACCAAGGGAGTGCAACTTGTTTACAAAAGATATTTACAATCCGGTAAGACTATCAATGACATATCCAGAATCCTCAACCTTATACATGTGCCTCAAAAAAAATAGAGACAAATATTTTTTTTTTTTGAAATAAGAAGTGTAGAAAATTTATCAATAGACACTAAGGGGGTACCCACCCATGTACAAAAACATTTACAATTTAGTAATGGTATCTACGACATTCCCAAAATCATCTCACCTATACATGTCATGACCTAATATAACCGAACCAAAAAAGTTCAATCATCTACCCTAATTCTTGTCATGTCACCCTCTACACCTTCCAAATCCCTACTGTTATGCTCTTAACAAATAACCCAAAATTCGTTAAAAGGGATAAGCATTAAATGAGGTTTCTTTTCACATAACTCCTTCTGAGCCCAAAGTTCCTCCTTACCAACCCAGCAATCACCCACTTGTTGCCAATCAGATTATACACCATAAGGGTGAAAACTCAAAAACCACAGAACACCAGAGGAGAATATCACTGCAAGATTCCGAGTCTTTTTTACATAGATAGCAACCATTTATCATAGTTCTATCTCTTCTCATGAGATTATCAATCATTAAGATGCATTCCCTCCTTGTTTCCCAAGCAAAGAAAGCAATTCTAGACAGAGCTTGAACTTTCCAAATCTGGCTAGCTGGCAACCTTTGCACCCCCTCCCTCCAGTTGCCTACCAAATAATGATAGTAGGACTTAAAAGAGAAGCTACCATTTTTCGTCAACTTCCACATGATGCAGTTTCTCTCATCACTTGCTTGAACGAAAGGTAATAAATGGATTATTGTCTCATATTCATTAACCTTCCAATTGTTAAGGTCCTTGTTCACAATCACATTCCACACCCTACCACCGAGTATCAATAACTCTGTTCCGTAGCACATTGTCATCACACCAATACCTCCATATCCACTTTCCATGTAAGGCAA